CAGCTAAAATTGTTTTAAATTTTTGTTCAAAATTTTAATGTTTATCAAAAAGTTGTAAAAAAAAAAAAATCGTTTAAATGTTTGTATACAAAATCGTTTAGTAATAATTTAAGTTTCATTTAAATAATATTTTTTGTGAGATTTTATTTTATTTTTATTTTTTGCATATTTTCTTGGCTTAAATTACATTTAGCTTAATTGCGAGACATTTATGTAAATAATTGAGATTTTTCAAATATTTTTTTTAAGGTTTTCATTTTGTTTTGTTTTCTGTTTTTTTTTTGCCTATGTAAATTTAATTTATGTTTGCCTGTTAATTATTTATTTTATTTATATTTTTGTTGTAAATTTCATTTAGGTGTGTGGGTGTGTGTGTGTGTATTGTGTGCAGATTTAGCTGTGCGTTATTTTTTTTATTTTTTTTATGAAATATATGTAGTTATATGTGGAAAAATGTTTTTTTTTGTTTATTTTTTTATAGATTTTCGTTTCATAACACATTCATTACGTTTTGTTTTTTTTGCTTTAGATAAATTAGTATTTCGTTTTTTCTGCTTCTTTAAGTTTTTTTTTAAAGTACACACATTCAATGGAGTTTTTGAAAAACCACACTTAAGATTTATATTTATATATTTGTTTATTTTTATTTTAAATGTTTTATGTTTTACGTTTATGCATTGGGCTTTTGTTTGTGTTGTTTTTTGTTGTAGCTCACAATATATTTATTTTTTTTTTCTCAAAATGTTGCTGCTGTTCTTCTTCGTCTTCGTCTTGTTGTTGTTGTTGCTGCAGTTTTACAGCCTCATTGGGCATTTTGTTGAGTATTTTATTTTTTGCCTTCGCCCTTTTGCACATAAACTATTTCGGCATATTCTGTTGCATTTTTGGCAGCTGCATCCACAGGTGTTGCACTTGTTGTTGTTGTTGCATTTGCTGGTTTTGTTGCTGTTGTTGTTGTTGCGGCAGCTGCTGTCTTCTCATGGGCGGGCTTTAGTACAAGTTCAGCATAGACGAGTTGTTTGTCTTGCTGTGGGCAATGTATAAAAGGAATTTTATTAGATTTCCAAATAAAATAAATTCATAAATTTGAAAACAAATATTTTATATGCTATTTTTTTTGTTATACCCTGAACCCATTGCAAATGCCAAAAAGAGGGCATGATGTTTTTTTTTTGGCAAATGTGCGTAACTGACAAGATCTTATATGTTATATGTATACGTATATATATTCCCAGCCATGTCCGCTCAGCTGTTTGTCTGTCTGTGTGATTAGGTAGATCTCAAAAACTATTATATATTTATTCATATATTATCATTTTATACGCTAAAGAATTAATAGTTTTTTTTTCGATAGCTCTAGGTCAATAGTTTCTATATCGATAAATATCGAACGATTGATACCTGTGTTTTTAACCATAACTCGAAGATAATAAGAGTAAAATCTTGGTATGTAAGCTCTCGTATAGCCATATACCATATACAGATATAGAATATTTCACTTATAGAATAGAATATTTTTTCTATATTATACCCTTCCCATTTCCCACAAAATTCGCTAAAATAAACCAATTTTGGAGCTAGAGCCTTGCTCTTTGGTATATACACATTTTTTCATGTCATTTTTCAACACTGAAAATGTTGTAAAGATCGGACTACAAAAACCGAAGTTAATAGAGAACACATTGCCTATACTGAGAGTCTAGCTGGAAGAAGAAGAAGCAGCAGATGCTGCGAAAAATACGCAGCTAGCGGCGTGGATGGAAGAAATGAAAAGTCTTCAATGCTTGCAATAACAGCTTAATGCTAGGTTCAGGGTATCTCCTAGTCGGGCACTACCGACTAGAGCACTCTATATATACAAATTGTTTGCTTTTTTTTGGGGTGTTTAGTGGGCAAATTGTGGTACCTTGTTTGTTTGCTTTTTGTTGCTGAATTTTGCTTTAATATATATGCATTTTATTTAAAAGTCCACACGGGTGAGGTGCTCTGCCAAACTATAGCCTTTATATATATATCGATAGATTGATAGATCGACAGATAGTACATAGTAAAGTATTTACAAGTTACACAAATTTTTGCATGCGTTAACAACACGACGAAATTAAAAAAATTAAATAATTTTTTTTTTTAAATAAGCAAAAAGTTGCGAGAGAGAGAGAAAGAGAGAGAGAGAGCAAAAAATTTGTGATTATAGATAAATTATAAATAGCTCGCCTACAAGTATGCTAAGCTAAATGGTGTAGAAAACATTGCGCCCACACACACACAGACATAACTTCGCACACACACGCACACACATAGCCAGGCACACAGCAGGAGCATTAGATAGAGACAGCTAGAGTTTTGTGTGGGAAGGAGTTTGGTTCAGTTTTTGTATACCTTTGGTTCATTGTCATTGCCATCGATTGTTGTTGTTGTTGTTGCCGTTGTTGTATTGTCCTGCGTCTGCTCATTTGCGCCCAGCTCCGCCTCCCCATTGTTGTCCTTGCCCTCCTTCTTTCTGCCATCCTTCTCATTGAAACGCTTTAAAATGGCAACTGCAAAGGCTGGCAAACGCTTGGCCCTCTTGCCGGCCGGCGCCTCCTGCTCGCTGCCAACATCCTCGCCAGCTCCTGAGCCTGTTCCTTGTCCTGCTCCTGCTCCAGCGGCTCCTCCAGCTGCTGCTACGTTGCCTGCCAGTGTGTTTGTTGCTGTTGTTGTTGCCGTTGCGGTTGAGGTGGAGGTGGCTTTTATGTCGGCGCTTTCGGTGTCGCTGCTGTTTTTGGTTTCAATTGTGGTTAAGGGCTTGGCGTTTTCTTTTTGTTGTTGTTATTGTTGTTGTTGTTGTGTGAGCTTTTGGGGGCTACTTATTAAATGTGTCAAAATAATTGTTTGCCGTGCAGCCGGGACATTAGTTAGAGCAGACAGAGTTTAGTAAGGCCCCATAATAGCCATTAAAGCGGGACGGGGTTAGTCGGTGGTTAGATGAAAGGTGTGTGTCTGTGTGTTTGTATGTGCGCGGGGATTAGAGAATGTATCTGGCTTCATCCATGGCATTACGCTTGGATCGTTGGCTGGGTTAGTGGCTTTCAACTTGTGCGGGTAATTGCGTAATTGTTATTTGCACCATAAAACCAAAGCTTCAACTACTCAAAATTGTCAGGTTTTGATTGCAATTGGACGAGGCAATTGCAAAACGAAAGGATTGCTTTAGTTTTATTTATTTAAAAAGGTTGTCCGTTTTCTGAAACAAACTCTAGTTGACAGCTATTTGCATCTATCAAAGCATTTCGTGGGCTAACTGAACTTTTTGGATCGGCTATTGGAGGGAAGTGTTCGTAACTATTCTAATGCTACTATTTCGTAATGATAAGGTATCTGTCTATAAATAATTTAATTATTAAGTCTGCTAATAGGTGGTTCAAAAAGGCATCCACTATATTAAAGCTCTTTAAAAGCTCTTTGAAAAATTTGCGCTTATATTAAAGCTCTCTTAAAAGCTTTGCTTTACGAATCTTTTCCATTTGGTTGACTCTATAAGTCTGAAATATATTTTTTTATATTAAGATAAGACTTGACTTTAAAAGTCTGAAGCCAATGATTGTAGTAGCGATTGAAGTTCTATCCCATAGATCCATATATCTTAACATTTTTGCTTAAATTTAACAACTTGCAAAAAAGTTTTTGTAGAAGAAAACACGATTTAAAAAGAGCTTTTACTCAGAATAAAAGAGTTTATGCAATTTAAATAACAAACATTTACATAAAGATGAAAAACTGTTTTCGCTCATCATAGGAAAGTTAATGGAATGTGCATACAAAGTTTATGGCTTAAACTTTTTGAACGTTGTCTAAACTTCAAACATTTTTTCCAATAGGAACCTGGACAAAAATCAACAGAATATTAAAGCTCAACAGTAAAGTTCTAAAAGCTAAAAGCTCGAATCGCTTTTGAATCAAAGAGAATATTGAAAGATCTAATAGCTCTGAAAGATTTTGTAGCTAAAATCACTAAATGCTTGAAAAGCTTTTGAATCAAAACAAATATTTAAAGATATAATAGCTCTGAATGATTTAGTAGCTTAAGTAGCTAAATAAGTCAGGTAAAAATTAAAGCTTTGCAGAAAAACTCTAAAAGCTGAAGTATATTATTATTCCCTTAAATATTCACGGTATGGGTTTGCTAGAAATCTGCAGTAAATCTTTGAAAAACAAGAAAATATTAAAGCTCTGAAGAAAAGCTCGTAAAGATTAAAATTGCATTCATTATTCAGGATATGTGTGTACTGGAAATCTGAAGTAATCCTTCCAAGAACCTCTGCACTTATTTCGAAAATGTACTGAAAAGCTTCTGGCTTAATCTCAAACGTTAACATTGAACTCTGCTCAATTTTGTTGTTCAATTGACCTTCATTGTGAGCCTGTTCGGATTTCATTTAGCTGATAGTCGGTCGCATAATTTGTTTGCCACACACACTTGCAACAGACGGCTGGCACTCGTATTTGGAGTATCTATATATATTCTATAAATATTTGTTGACTCATTTAAATGTCTGGCAGCAGTCTGGCTGCGTGTTTGTTAGGAGAACGAACTATTGTTATGTGCGTTTAACTCCGGCACGTGGTCTTTATCTGGCTATCAATATCGAAAAAGGCAGAGCACGCAGCTTGAATAAACTAAACTAATATGGTATTATGTGTGTTGTTTGGTTAAATATTTGTGGTTGGGCAATCAGAAAATAATAAAGAACAAAAAGCAAAGAAAATAAATGTACAAAAACCCGCAAACCCTGAAACACTCACACACACGCAGGCATTTATTCAGTTTTTAATTGTTGTTAATTTATTAAAAATATAAATATATATGTATATATGTAAAGTATAAAATAAAGAACAACCTTATCAGAATGTCACACTAACTACAACTTAATAAATAAACGCGCTTCGTCTGCTCGAAATTAAATCCAAAATACTTGTTCAACTTTGCAACTTAAACTAAATTAATACAAAAAAAGTTGTAATACATTTGAAAGAAAAAAAAAGGAAATTTGTTTGTCGCTTAAGGAAAAGAAAAAAAGTACAGTGGGCACAGCTTGAGTTGAACACTCGTTGCGCATCTCTTTTTGACTTGGTTCCAACTAAAATACTTGCTTAGAAACATTTTCGTTTTGAGTAACATAACAATTAGCTTTCTGGCATGTAGCTCGCTTAGGGTTGCCATGCAAAACTATTAATAACATATTCGAACAAAATTCTTAATTTCATGCCTAAATTTCATGCTGTTTGCTTTGCAAATTCTCAACTAGGTCAAGATTTTGCATTTCGTTTGGGTTTCGTGTGTGTATGTGTGTGTCTGTGTGTAACTGTGTGTGCCTGTGTGTGGATGAAGCTGTCATGAGTTTCGTTTGTCTTTGAGTTACAATTGAGTTGCATAGCTCGCTGCTATGAAATTGCATGTTAAAGTAAATAAATTAGAAATTCTAAACCTCATTCTACAGACATTTGCTGTACCTATGAAATACACATACACATATACAAATATGCACACACACACACGCACATAGATTTAGATTTCCGTTTCCTGTGGCAGCTTTGGTGTTGTTTGTGTTGTTGTTGTTGTTCCTGTTGTTGCTGTTGTTGTTGTTTGTGGCTGATTTTTGTTGGGCTTTGGTGGCGCCGCTGGCGGTGTTGCCTTTGCCACAACTGTCTGATTGCGTCCGGATAGCAAATTGGCCTGCTTCTGGAGCAGCTCACGCTGATCCTTGGGCAGCCAGCGCGAGAAACGTGACTCGGGTATGCCCAGCTGATTGCCGCGCTCCAACAGATCCGTATCCTGCGTCTCCTGCGCCACCGACTCCCTCTCCGCCTCGTTGCTGTGCGTCTGCGAATTGCGTCCGCCCGCCTGGGCCATTAGCACATTGCGCAGCGGCTTCGTTGTGGGATTATAGACGCTGCTCTCACGATCCGTGCCATACTCAAATGAATCTTCGTCATCCTGGAGACGACGCTCCACCGAGAAGCGTTCGTGATTGTGGCCATGTCCAATGCCATTGCCATTGCCATTGCCATTCGCCTCGCGCATTTTGCTGGCGCCCAAAAGCGTGATGCCATTGGGCGTCTCCAGCAGTGCCACATTTTGGCCATGATGCGCTGCCTCCGCGGTTTCCAGCTGCTTGTCGCTGCAAAGTGGGCGGCGGCATTGTCAGTGTCGGGTGGGAGGGGCAAAACAACAATTTTTGACAGTTTTGTATTTATTTTGACAGTTTATTTTAGTTTTTTTTTTTATTTTTGTGGATGGTTTGTTGTCCATATGAAAGTACACAAAAGAAGTAGAGTGGAAATTTGTTGTTGTCGTTTTTTTTTTTTTTGAGATGCATTTGCGAAATGGCCAACTTTTTTTTTTGTGTGTGTTTTTTTTTTTGGGATATGGCTTGGACAGCGACTTGACGTTTTAGTAGATGCAGATTAAATTGTTGTTGTTTGCGGTACGGCACAGTGAACAGTGGTAGAAAGAGACAGAGAGAGAGAGAGATGGAAAGAGACTGCGAGACAGAGTGGAAGATGGCACGACTGGGTAGTACGAGGCGAGGGGCGTGGCGAGGCGGGCGAGCGGACGAGCGAGCAGTGTGTGAGGATGTGTGGCTGTGTGTGTGTGAGAGTGTGTGTGGGAGTGTGTGTGTGTGAGTGTGTGTGGCAGCGTGAAATTTGTTTTGCAAAGTGAATTTGATTTGATTTCAATTTTGAACGAGAGACAAGACAGCGGGCACTATGCACAAATGAGACGAGACACAAAGTTTTGGCGACAAGTTTTTAGTTTTTAATATTTTAATAGATTATTTTTCCGCGTGAATTTCCACTGACAATGAAAATAATTGCATAGCTGCATGTGAAACGAATGGAAAATGAAACGGTTGCTCACATTTTGGGCAACCAAAGCGCATAATTGATATTTGAAAAACGTTTTGAAATGTGCATAAACTATTTGCTTTAAGATGGAAATGAAGAGCGGAATGTGTATGCAAAGAATTTTCCCAAATTTCCTGGCTAATGTGATTCCCCTTTTTGTTGTTATTCGAATATTATTAGGATATAAATTTTAAGGTTTAAGCTAGTTTATAGCTGAAACGTTTGGAATAGAAGGAGTTTCCAGCCGCAAGAGTTGTCTGGGGAATCCTTTTCTTTCGATAATACCTCCCGCTCTTATCACTATTGTCATCCTTGAACTGAGCTGGATATTCTTTGCGATATTCCTTATCATTTTCATAATATTGATAAATATCGATTCTTAGACTTGGTTTTTTAAGCAGAGCTCGAAGATTATGATTTTGTATACTGTAGATTAGGAATATATCACTTCTTAGATACCTCTTCCCATTCCACCAAAAAAAGAAAATGCATTTTCAAAGGTCAGGCCTCGCGCCTTGGAATACATTACCACATTTTATCAATATTCTAGAATATTTGCGCATTTACTCAATTTACAGAGTAAGTAGTATATAAGAAAACTCGATTTGCTTAATTTTAAATTTGAAAACCAAACCAAAACATATAGAAAATTAGCTTCACGATTCAAAGCCAAAGGCGAGCTTTTGGAGCTTCTGCTTGGGTCTCTTTTTCCTTTTCTTAAATTGCCAGTGGAAAGTATCTTCGAATATGTGTGTGTGTCTTTTGAGATGTGTATGTGTATGTGTACGTGCTTAAGTTAAACGCTTACTAAATGTAAATGACTATGACTAGCCTAGCAATGATATTATTTATAGCTAATGATAATGATGATGACTTAGTACTATTCAGAGAGCTGCATTTGATTCGTAGCGCTTGTTAATGAAAATCATAAATATGGAAAATAAATTAAAGTACAAAAATTAAAAGAAAAATATTTGAAGCATTCAACAAGCAAAACGCAACTACGCAATTTCAGTTTAAACAGAAATTCGAAAGTTTTTATGAATATAACAGTTAATACAACAGGATGCAAAGTACAGTTAGGCAGACAAATACCGTTTTTTTTCTTATCTGTGGGTTAGTTGTATGGATGGTCCAGTTAAATGGAGATATATATATAGAGAGAGCATGACTTTTATATGGCCTGGCCCCGTTGCACTTTGAACTTATTTTGACATAAACGCGACATTTGATGGAACTTTTAAGGTACTTACGTTTCATTTGTGGGCGTCTTGATTGATTTACCTGTGAAAATAAATTACAAAAATATATTACTAGGCAGTTGAGTAGAAGAAAATGTTAATAGAACTATTTTAAAAATGGTTTTATGCAGCGTGATACGTTCGGAAAATTTGTTAAGGCAAAACCCCGCCCAGCATCATCATGTGCCATTTAGCTAAAGCCCAAGCATAAATTTCAAGCCAATTTGTTAATTATTTAAATAAAAACACAATTTATTTGTAACTTTAAAATATGTTTTGTTTCGTTTTCATTTGTTTTAACAAACTACTAAACTTACAAAGAACTGAAAAATTAAGTGTGTGCGATTTAAATTAATATTTTTTTTAGCCAATTTGTTTAAGTTTTAAAACTATTTAATTTATATATATATATATATATATGTGTGTATGTGTGGTTTTTAGTTTTCTAATTATTCAAGCCAAGTTTTATTTATAGTATATATAATATATATATGCTTTGATTTATCAACTAATAAGTTGTTGAGCAAGACACGAAAAAAATTATATAAAAAACAATATTCGAACAAAAAAATGCAAAACGCTGGCAGGTCGGAGCTTAAAATAAATTAATTGCTGGCAATATTTTAAGAAAATGTGAAAAATTATGTTACAAAATACAATTTGTGATATACAAGATTAAAGTGTACAAAATATTCGTTCTGAGCGCGGACGGCGTGTGCTTTAATTGCGAGATTCCAGGAGATTCCGAGTTGTAAACTTTAGCTTATGAGAAATAGACAGAGAGCTTATGCAAATACTTGGCCTACGTTAGGTTTTTCGTTTTTCTTAGTTCTTTTTCATTTTTCATTTAAATTTGTTTTGTTTTTCTTTTTATTTGCTTATGTGTTTTGTGCGCCTTTGAGATTTCTGAGCGGAATAGAGAGCGTTTTTTTGATTTGCTTTTAGGGTGTACTTTTCTTATAGCAAGGCTTGCGCTCAGCTAGTTTTTACAGGGTATTTACTGGGCACGCTCTAGACGGACGTATTTGGGGGCTTGGGTGCATCGGCGGCGACATTTTGTTGGCCATTTCCGGCCGCAATTACGGCTGCAGCTGTGGCTGCGGCACTTTTCTTAAGATCTGCCTTCTTTTGTGCCTCCAATTTATCGGTGACCGGGGGCGTGGCCTCCTCCGATTGTTGCGTCGTATCGATATGCTCATCGCCATTGTCTTGGCCATCGAGCTCGTCGTCGGGATGATCGGGATGTATCTGTGCCTCGGAGTCGGGTCCGATGTCTGTATTGAGTGTGGCGCCTGCAAGAACAACAACAACAAGAACTAACATTTAGCGACGAGCGAGTTCTGGCTGCTGAAAGCACAACCATTTCTGGGCCAACCATTTAACACCAATTTTTAGTCGGATTCGGCCAATAGCTTAAAACGTGTGGTTAGTCCTTTTACCAAGTAAAGCAAAGTAAGAGTAGATAAAATGAAGAAGTTAAAGACAAAAAAAATATACAAGATTTTTGCAGAGAAAACTAAATTTAAAGTGAAACATAGAAAAGCAAAACAACCCGAAAAGTATTTGAATTTTGATTGAAACAAAATTTGAAACACATAAAATTTTAAATTAAGTATTGTATTTAACTGTAAAGCGTCTTTCATGTTAGCTCTTCTTGTTGTTGTCATTTGTAGACAGTTTTTAAGGCAGAGTATTGGTGTCTTTCTTTTTTTTTTTGCTAAATTATCAATAGAAGTTTTTTACAATTGTTTTTGTGTTTGTTTTTTATATGCTAAATACATTTATTTTACTTATATATCTAATATTAAATTGGCAATCATATTGTGCGCTTGATTTTGTTTATATGTTATTAACATGCGAAGTCTTTAAATATGTGTAGGTGAATTTTGGGTTTTAGTTTTCTTTTAAGCTGTGCGTGGATTTGTGGTTTTCATAAAGGCACTTCGTATGTCTTTTATTGGTAGAGAAAAAATGATAAATTTAAGTTTAGTTTAGTTTTTGATACTTGAAATAGAGTAGTCTTTTATTTTAATTTCCCACCCCATAACTCGGTCAAATCTCATCCGATTTTCTCAAGGTTTGGCTTTTTGCTCATGGTTTGATCTCTAAATCAATCTGGCATCTAAATCTGACAACATGATTTTGGGTCAAAATTCATGTCAAAATGGTACCCTCAAATATCCTATATAGACATAGGCCAAAATTTCCCACCCCCATAACTCGGTCAAATCTCATCCGATTTTCATAAAGTTTGGCTTTTTGTTCATGGTTTGACCTCTAAATCAATTTGGCATCTAAATCTGACAACATTATTTTTGGTCAAAATTCATGTGAAAATGGTACCCTCAAATATCCTATATAGACATAGGCCAAAATTTCCCACCCCCATAACTCGGTCAAATCTCAACCGATTTTCATAAAGTTTGGCTTTTTGTTCATGTTTTGATCTCTAAATCAATCTGGCATCTAAATCTGACAACATGATTTTGGGTCAAATTTCATGTCAAAATGGTTTTATCAAATATCCTATATAGACATAGGTCAAAATTTCCCACGTCCATAACTCAGTCAAAACTCATCCGATTTTCATAAGCTTTGGCTTTTTGTTCATGCTTTGGCCTCTAGATCAATTTGGCATCTAAATCTGGCAACATTATTTTTGGTCAAAATTCATGTGAAAATGGTACCCTCAAGTATCCTATATAGACATAGGTCAAAATTTCCCACGTCCATAACTCAGTCAAAACTCATCCGATTTTCATAAGCTTTGGCTTTTTGTTCATGCTTTGGCCTCTAGATCAATTTGGCATCTAAATCTGGCAACATTATTTTTGGTCAAAATTCATGTGAAAATGGTACCCTCAAGTATCCTATATACATATATATTTTTGTTACTTGAATATATCAATTTATCACAAATGGAGATTTAACTGTTTACAAGTTTACATGAACCCCAAAATTTATATATTCCGAAACTTTTTTTATCATTTCCCATATCTTCTACAAAATGGTGCTCTTGGCATTTATGAAATTTGTAAATTATTTTGGGCAAATTGGCGCGACTGCAAGCTAAAAATCAGCAACAAACAGCTAAAGTATCCTCTCGTCGCCCCTAGACTACCCTCACTTCCCGCTGCCACACAAGCAGACAAAGAAAAGAGAAAAAACCGCCCAAAAGTCAAGTGAAATAATACCAAAAAAAGAGAAGAAAATAAGTTTAATTAGATGAGTTTTTAAGGCTGCACGAGTTGCTGCCATTGCCAGCTTGCAACTTGGCGCTAATTAAAATTTAAAAGCCGCACAATGAGTTAAAAGTTAGCAACTGGCTGTGGCTATGCCTGCCACGCCCACACACACACACACACATACAGCTAGTGGGGGGATGGGCAGCACATGAGATGAGCTCGCTGATGATGGGCGATGGCTAATGGCTGGGGTTTTTTTTTGGGCCAGAAATTATTGTTAGCATAGCTGATGATGATGATGATGGCACATGATGACTACAATGATGATGCGAGTACATGATGATGACATTATGATGTGGAGGGGTGGGGGGGCACCCGAAGCGAACGTAAATAATGTGTTGTGAAGCCCCAAGTAAGGAATTAAACAAACAAAAATAAAATCAACGCTCTAGCTACTTACCGCCAAAGCACCATCTGCCGGTGGCGCGCGCAAACACGAGAAGCAGCACAATCAGCACCAGAACAGCAACAGCCACAACAATGCCCACAATGGCAGCCACATCCAAGCTGGCGCTGGGCGGCTTGCTCGACGAACTGATGCGCACTTGATAGTTGGTGGTGCCCAGCTCGTTGCTGGCGTCCAGATAGTACGTTTTGGTCGTATCCTCCAAAGTGAGGCCCGCAATCGCCAAAGTCACATTGTACTCATCGTTGCCCACATATTGTGGCTCATAGGCCGAATAGCGTCCCTCGCTGCGTCCCTGCGACACAATGGCGCCATCGATGGTCCATTTGATGGTTGGCGGCGGGCTGGCACGAATCGTTATATTCACAATGGCCGTGTGCTCCAAATAAAGACCATAGACCGAAGCCTCCGGCTGACGGACAGGCGCATCTGGGCGTGGAAAAAACATGATTTTAATCAATCGATATATTTAGTTTTAAAGTTTGTTTCTTATAACCTTGAAGAAGGTATTAGAATTATGCCACGACCTGAACGAGACTTTGGTGCTTTTGGTGCAAACCTTGATTTGATATTTATGTTTAAGGTACGGTTCGTCTTTCAGTTCGACTTTTTTGAGAGATTTAGTTTAGCTAGAGGTTCTGATTTCTGGACACGAACCGGTTCATATAGCTGCTATTGGAACAATCGATCGTAGTCAAAAAATATTATATTCCTCTCACACGAGCTAAATCTTACCACCATCGGACTACTATATCATTTAGATCTTTAAACCTATATGAAGAATCAGCAGAACAACATTTGTATCAACTCTTTTGTTTTCGAAGAAAGGACAGGAACAGAATTGTATATCATATACTTTATAGACAATATGATATACATAGTTACAATAGGAACAATCTGACGAGAGTTTAGTTAGGGAGAAGGTTTTGTGGAAATTGAAGGGCATTTAATCTTCGATATTCCAACTGTTCCTTCCATTCAACCAAAGAGATAATCAGGATACTTACAGCGCACATTGATGATGTAGGCAGCTTCCTGGGGCGGGACGCTCTCGCGATCGGTTTGATGATGGGAACGACAGACGAGTTTACGATTGCTGTCCTCCGGTCCCAAATGCCATTGGATCTCCTGCACGGACGTGGACAATTCGACGTTATCGTTGGTGGGCGTGGCCAGTATCTGTAGCGGATTGGTGCGCTTATTGGCGGGCATGTTGTCAAGGTACCAGGTGATGTTGGCTGGCGGGCGGCCATCGCGCACAATGCAACGGGCATGGAATTCGGTGTCCTCGTTGAAGAAGCCATCACGATTGGCCTTCGAGATGAGCTCAATAATGGGCTGCTGCGGGCGCACTAGAAGAGAGCAACAAAAGGGTTGAAAGGGTTAGATGTTAAGTTGAGGAAAAACTATATAGTGTAGTTTTTGTACTTACATGCCACAACCAGGTCTATGGTGCCGGAGAGCTCCTCGCCCTCGACGCCCAGACTGCACTTGACCTGTCCGTTGTTGCTGGCCTTGACGCGTTCGATGCTGACGCCGCACTGGCCGGCATTTAGGCCGGCGCCATAGTAGGTAAATCCCGGCGTCTTGCTCCAGACGGGCGACAGATTGAGCACCTTCTGCTCGCCGGGTATCTCGATGCGGCAATAGTTGATGGCACGTCCGTAGCGGCAGAGCAGCTCGGTGCGATCGCCCTCGTTGAGCAGCGCTGTGTTCGGCTCCACGTTCACCTGGCCAAAGCTGAGCGCATCTGCAAAGATAAAACAAGTTAAATTAGTGCCCATTGTTCAGCAGTTTAGTTCTTGTGCAATGCACAAAGTATCTTGTATCTGTTAACTGGCAAAACATAAAGTATCTTATATCTAGCGCTTGCCTAATGCCTTTGGCAAATGACTGTCATATCTTTATGCCGCCGCCGCGACTCTTGCACGTTTGTGCAACTTGCAGATACGCATCTGCCTTTCGAGTTCTTCAGTTACAGTCGCCACGACGACTAACACCCCATAAATTCGCGTGACTTTGCCAACAACTCGCCTCGCCTGGCCTCAAATATGCATGCGGCTGCTGTGGTTGCTGTCTTTTCTCATTAAGTTTCAATTACGCCACGTTTTTTTCTTCTTCTCTTTTTTTTTTTCTCTTAGCAAACAATTTTCAAATTTTTCTCTCTCTCTGTTTCGCATCTGCTGGAGAACTCAACTGCAGTGGCATTTTGCAAAGTTCTCGTTTTTACTTCTGCCAATTAAGATGCTCAAGCGATTTGCTAACTCAGAAATTAAATGATTTAGCAACATGGAAAGTTTGCGTTCAGCTGTTCCTGAAATCGTTTTCTGCTCAATTACGCTTGTTATAAATTAAGCGTGAGGTAGCCTTGAGTTTTAAGTTTGGTTCAGGATGACTTCAGAAGCGCATTTACACATACTTGGCTTATATTTTAATCGTAATTTGCTACATTTGTGTTGCAGAAATCTATTTCGCTTGTTAGTTGATTTCTTTGATATTTTTAATATGCAAATATCCAAGCTCTAATTTATTTTTCAGAATGTGTTAGCTAGGCAATTTCTTAAATAGAGTTGAAATTATATAACTTAAATCTGTTTTCTTTCAATTGTGTTCCTGAAAACGTTTTCAGATGAATAATGTTTCAGCGATATTTTGTTTGACGAATATGTGAGATTAAAGTTTAATAAGAAATCCAAGCAAAATGATTTTAGATCAATTTTCTATATACATACATATGTAAAGTGGAAATTTTCCAACATATCAGCTCTTACAAGTTTCAAGCAGTTGAAGATGTTCTTATCAAAATGTTTTTTAACCTGAGTTTTATAATAAGAACGATTGGCAACCTATGCTATTTGCAAATAGGAAATTGTATAACAAAATGTGTAACTTTAAATATTTTATATACTTTTTCTAAAATTGTTGTATCATCTCCTCAATTTCTCTTTCTCTTTTAGCAGCCTATCAAGTTCGTTTCACTTTCTATCAATTGCTTTTTTTTTTGGCCTTTCAATTCCAATGGAAAACATTTATCCCACTGTTGCCATTAAATTTGGCTGAAGTTTCATTTTCTTTTTGTTTTTCTGGTTTTAGCCCTCACTTTTAGCCGCAACAAAATTTGTGTTGATCGATTGATTTGTTGTTGTTGTTTTTTCGCTTTTCCGCATAGGCTTCATTTTTCACAGCCTGCAAAACACTTTGGCAATTGGCTGCTCCCAAATGTGCACCCGAACCGCGTTCGACACCTCTACCCAACGTCCAACTCCCCTCAACAAACCCCCCTCTCCACCTTGCTCCAGCTGCACAATGGCAATCTAACTAATTTTCTAAATGAAAGCGGCAAAATTGCAAAATGTGCCATAAACATGAGACGGCTGCTGCTGCAGCTGTTCGGCTGAGATTGTTAGAGGAGCGTGAAAGGGGGCGGGGTGGGGGAAGCGGGGCACTTTTCAAAACGTTGGGGTAGGGGTGATGCAGGCCGGCCAAGTGCAGCTGGGGCCATGCATTGATTTCAATTTCGTTGCGCTTTTTGGCTTTTTGACTGACTCGGACTGGCTGACGTGCGGGCCTGCCAAGACTTTTGTTTGGCCAGCCGCACACACACGCACACACACATAGACAGGAAACAGCAACAACAACAACAACAGCAGCAATAGTTGTTTTTCATACCAATTCATTGGCTCGTCTTTGATATTTGCATTTGTTTGGCTTTAAAGCGGGTCAACCAGTTGGCCAGCTGGCCGGCCAGCTCGTCGTGTTTGCAATTTAAAACCCAGTCCCAACCAACCAAACCTCCCGCACCCCAACTGCCAGCCAAACTGTTAACAATTGAGTTGTGACTGATTTTCGTTCATTCCCTCAATAATTCTCTATATACATTTTTTTATTTCACACTTGAGCTTGTGGCGCAATGAAACCACTTAGAGCTCTGCACATAAACCAAATCGCTGAATTTATATTCTTTTTTAAGCCAGAATTTCAAGCGTCAGCACTTGTCCCAAACACCCACACACACACACACACACAGTGCGAGTACTACACTATGCTACACAACTGTGGAATGTCACAGTCACAGTCACAGCTATGAAAACAAAGATGATGACGAGCGCAACGACAATCGCAACGGATGGCGAATGGATTGGCTGCGTAGTGGGGGGCGCAATGCTGGCGTATGCTTCACATGCCACACCCCTTACTTCCCTGCTCAACAGACGACTAAGTGAATCGGGTTTTTAAACACTCTTCTAGATGGTATTACAACTTTATCTTGATAGTTCTAACGCGTAGAGAACAACATCTTCAGACTATAAAGAGTGTATATTTTATTGATGATATAGTCGAGTCTTTGAAGCCGTGTCCCACTGTCTGTATAGGCTCTCTGCTAAGAAGCTATTGTCATAAAGCTTTGAATAGATCCATATATATTTCGGTTGCAGAATGTCTGTCTGAACTGGCCGGATCAGAGCCCTATATCATAAAGCTGACATAGGAATGCAAGGTCGAAAATTAGGATCTTTTCTCTTCATGATAATCGTATCATATATAATTGAATCATGTTATGCTTATCATATACTTGACATATACGAGCTCTAACATGCTCCCTTCATATAAGAATAATCTTATCAACATCTAACAACTATATCATATTGCTCTATAGACGGAATTGATTCTTAAATAGATGGAAAAGTTATCTGTTTTTCCATATATCTTAACCAAGCTCAGCAATTTTAGGCAACACAATTCTGCTCACATATCTACAATGGTTCATGATACATGGTTATCTAGAAGGGTATTTAAGCTTCGGCTTGTCGTGCATAGACGTTCTTCCTTTTCTTTATTTTGTTGCTGTCTGCCCGTACAACCTATATACCCTGTAACGTATTGCACCGCATCGTGATATTTATTTATTTAGTTTAGTTTTTTTTTTTGGTTTTTTGTTCGCAAGCGGAATTTTCAGTGGAACGTCGTCGCCTGTCGTCGCTGGGTTCTGTGTGTGTTTTATTTGATGCCAAGTCTGCAGTTTTCAACCTCAGCTAGATGCCTTGGTGCGACCAGACCCGGAGGCAGCTGCTGCGGAAGCCGGACGGACATTGTCCAGTTCAGTGGTCATGCCTCAGTTGCTGCTATGTGCAAAAGTTGCTTTCGGTTACTTTTTGTGTTTGTCTCATACGTGCTGTGTGTGTGTACAAAATCATTTCACTTCACTTTCCTTCTATATAGATTGTACAATATATTTAATTTAAAGCGCAATAAAATCAACTTGCCGACCATTGCCGGGCAATCGTCGGCCAAGTGGCACGCCTCGCGGCACGCCCCTCACGGCTATTGTTTCCATTTGACTTTGGCCACGTTAGCGTCTTTTATGTGAAACGTGATTTTTCCTTAAATATTACGTTCAAGTATTTGATTTTCCGCCCCGCGGGTAGTCGCATCAACAATTTTTCGGTACGTCTTATATTGCACAGTGGCACAATGTTCGACAAAATGTTGTCAAAATTAATAAATTGTTAGGAATGTGTTTGAATTCATATGTTGCATATTACAATTATGTAGACATATATTTGTAGATCCCTAAGTGGCATTTGTTAAGATCCCAAACATATATTATTTAATTTTATTTATATTTATGTTTAATTTTTGTATATTTTTTTTTAGCTTTTATGAATGTTTGTTGAATGCTTTCTATTATTCTTATTTATTTTTATTTATGTTTGTTTCTTTCAGGTGCGCTGCTTCATTTAACTTATAGAAAGAAAACTAACCCTAAATGTATAAAAGGGAAGTTTTTGTAAAATATGGTAAGTCGATAATTATTGTATTTATATTTTCCTTCGAATTTTTGTTTTCCTTGTGTGCTTTATTTATTTATTCTTATTTTCTACCAAAATTCAAGCGAAAACCAATTTTAAATATGTTGTCTTAAGAGTTTTGGTTCAATCTCTTAAAATTCCATAATCAATACTTTTTCAAATTTTTTAATTGGTATTTTTGTGAAAATGTTCTTTTAAACCATCAAATGGTCACACTGTTTTTACGGCTTATAAAGTAAAACTAGATTGTTTTCAGTCTGCAGCCACACAATATTTGTTGAAAGAAACAAAAGTAAACTTTGGAGTGAAAGTAAAGTCAATTTCTTATAAATTTGGCTGTAGTTTCTATGAGAATTATTTTTGAAATAAAGGAATTATAAGTTTAGTTGATCTTGGGTCTATCTATCTATTTATCAGTCTATCTCGGGAGAGGTTCTTGTGTACCTGATACTGAACAAGCTGCAAGATGGAAGTAGAGAAATAGGCTCCACAGATTCCGTACTGTATAAATATTTTAAAAACAGTTTTGCCATGCAAAGTCGCATATATCTAAAGTCCGATATATTATCTGCCGCACTCTCTCATTTTCATGCCGTATTCGTCTAGTTTGCACCACTGTGCACGTCTGTCTGTCTGCACAGGTCAAAGGAATAAGCCAAATCCGACTGGCGAACTGGATAGCTAGCTGGGCCCTCGCCACAAGTAGTCGGCATGCAATTTGAGCATAAAGAAAGGAATCAGCCACACATTGTGGCGATATGCTCATGTTTATGTCTGTGGCATGGACACACATTCGACTCTCGACTCTCGACTGTTGCGGCATTGTTGTCTGTATTTCTCTAGTAATTTTCAATTTATCAGCGTCGATTTATCAATTTTTGCTGCTTTTTCACCTGCAGCGCCAAATGAAGAAAAAAAGATAATTATTGTTGATTTATGG